TGTGCACTATATACTCATTTAAATATTAAATTGTGTTGTTCAAGTGTGATAGACACGTGATTTAAATATTATTTGTGTATTGTTAGAGTATGTATTATATACACACAATTTAAATATTTAAATTGTATATTGTTAGTGTGCATTACATACACACTATTTAAATATGATTTAAATTGTGTCTTGTTAAAGTGTATATTATGTACACACACCATGTAAAAACACACCTTTTATTATTATTTTCTGGTGTGCATTTCCCCCCCACTCTACTTATTTGCACAAAATACTACGTCCGTTTGTTCTCTGAGTTTGATAGGTTGCCTTGGAAATGTATAGATCTCTGGAGAATATTCCATTTATAGCAACGGGCTGGGAGACGGTGTGTAGCATAAGTGTCAAAATAAAGGATTTGATTCTCTGCATATCATTTTTTACGATATAGCAAAAGCAAGAGGTTCTTGCATCGTGGACGGTGTCTATTGTGGAAAGGAAAATCCAGGATGGGCTTAACCATCGTTTGTTGGATAAAACCTGGTTTTCTTTTATGCAGAAAGCTGAAATCACCAGCCACGATTTGCCTGGAGATTCGCAGCACTCCAAACTGTGCTGGGTGCAATTTGCGAATCACTGTTTCCTCCCTCCCTGAGTGGAGACAGAAAATAGATTCGGAATAATTCTAGAAGCGAGGAGAAAAAGACGAGTTGGGCTTTAAAACTGCAATATATCTATTTTTAAAAATAAAATTGTAGAGGGATAGGTGAGAGAGAGAGGCTGGAGCCCCTAATCAGAGGATTCTGCAATCCATTTCACTTCACCCGCTCTTGTCAGTTTCATCGGGGCTAGTCAATTTCACAATTGCTTTGGATCAGTTTCACAAGGAATTGATCCAAATCAGAATCCGAATCAGATCAGAAATGTCTTTGGATCAGTTTCACAAGGGCATGGAAACTTCTCCAGCTTGGTCTTCCCTATTTCTCCTATTCCTCTTCCCCAAGGACCATCCCCCTAGTAAGACAATTGTCCTATAACCTTGGGGTCATTATATCGGCTTTTCACGCCCCACCCAGGGTCGATATGGGAGTTGGTACAGCAGAGCAAGAATTTAAAATAAAGAAATGAAGCTCTGAAACATCTCCTTGTCCTTGGCATCTCCTCCTCGGTGGCCGCCCCCCGTACTTCTGCTGAAAGCGGTCCAAGAAAAGGATCCCCCGCCATTTTCAAAGGGATCAGAAGGATGGGTTGGAGGCCATGGGGTGGGGATTTCTGTGGGGTATCTATCATGGTGCTTCTCCAGCGCTGGGTAGATCTCCTCCTGAAGGTGGGCCAATCCTCATCTCCTGGTCTCTGGAGGGCGCGAGGCCTCCTCTGACGTGCCTTCGCTCAGAAATCAGCCCGCCTGGGAGCTCTAGAGGGGTTAATTTGGGCTGGATGGCGCCCATTCATGCTTTGGGTCGGTATCTGCCAAATGCTCATCTTCCCCCCTTCTTGCGCCTTCTTCTTTTTTTTCCTTCTTCTTTTTCCTTTCTCCTCTGTGCCCCCTACTTCCTTTCCTTTCCTTTTTTTATTCATGCCCTCTCTTTTTTGTGTCATTCTTTTTCTCTGCTTTTCCTTTCCCTAGTCTCTGGATCTTCCTGTTCTTCTGTTCCGTTCCTTCCTTCCTCTCATCCCTTGAAATGTCTTCCTCTTCTTCTCCAAACCTTTTCTTTCTCTCCATTTTTCTTTCTGTTCCAATCCCTCCTTCCTTCCTTCCTTTTCTTCTCTCCATTTTTCTCTTCTTTCTTTCTCTCCATTTTTCTTTCTCTTCCAATTCCTCCTTCCTTTCCTCCTTCTTTTCCATCCCAACCCTTCCCTTCTCCTTCCTTCCTTTCCTTCTCTCCATTTCTTTCTCTTCCCTTCCTTCCTTCCTTTCTTTCTATTCCTTCCTTCCTTCTCTCCATTTCCTTCCCTCCTTCCTTCCTTCTCTCCATTTCTTTCTATTCCTTCCTTCCTTCTTTCCATTTCTTTCTATTCCTTCCTTCCTTCCTTCCTTCCTCCCTCCTCTCCATTTCTCTTCCTCTTCCCCTCCCTTCTCTCCCTCTCTCTCTCTCTCAGTCCTTTCTTCCGCGCGCTCCTCTCTCTGCGAGCCCCTCTGCCCTCCGCGCGCTCTTCCTCCGCTGCTCTCCCCGGCGGGCCCTGCAGGCGCCGCTGTCCCCTTCCGCCGGCCTGGCCGCGGCGGGCAGCGCTGCTCACTCCAGCCCGGGGACTGGCAGGCCTTTCCGAGGAGGCGGAGGCG